ATCTCTGCTTTCTTTCCCTCCTTCGAAAGGCTTAGTCCCAGCAGTGTGTTTTTCTCTCTGGACTCACACACGTGGTTGACCGCTACCCTCGCCTTCAAATGACCAGAAATTGTGCAATTGCAGAAATTGACGTGGCATTAACGTGGCATCGATTCAAGAACATCTTTGAGCACACGTGATGTCACCTTTTCATCGAGAATTTAGCCACGTGTGCCACGTGGATTTCTGGCTGCATGAAACAGAGTGTATGTTACGAATGTAGTCAGCAAATCTCATTACTGTTCACTTCAAGGGTTACTCAAAGCTCCCGAAAGAGGGTGGTCAGAGCCATGCGACGATTATGGCTGCATCCAAATTTTTGCAGAGCCATCATTACTCTATGTGATCGAAAAAAGAAAGTTTGGGAACATGATGCGACGCTCGCTGACCCAACCTGCAGGCTTTTTCATGGATTGGAGGTGTCGGTCGCGTGCGTTGAGGAATCCTCGACAGCTGGCAGGGGTCGATGTGCGCCCACTGGGAGAAGGCGGGCTGGGCCGGCAGTGCCCAGTAGGATATATGCAGAGGGGTCCTATCGTTGCTACTTTTCAAAAAGTTTTTACGCCCCCCCCCCCTTTCAAAACAACTTTTACCCCAAAAAATTACCGTCGAGCGGGGGGGGGGGGGATATATTTCTGCCATAGAAACCGCACAAATTCCCTACATTTACCCAACTTTACCGATATTTCAACTGCTCCATTTCCTTCCAACTCTTCCATTTTCTAGGGGAGGTATATACGCGCGCTGAAACGGCAAATTTTCTCCCGCGCCGCTCCCCACTCATCACATGCAACTTCTTACAACCGAAGCAAGTACGACCCCCCCCCTCTACAAACTCATCAAAATACGACCCCCCGTTGCTACTTGTAGCAACATAGGGTTGACCCTGCGGTTGGAAGGAATAATTGTAACGGCGTTCGATCCGCCTCACAGAAAATTTCCTTATTCGAGAGGGGTTCTGGAGCCTACCCGCAGTGTTTTATCACCACACAAGGTGAAAGAATCCGAAATTCGCACGTTTTCCAAGGGATATTTTATCTTTCAAGTGAGTCCTCGAATCTGAAGGGATGTGAAGCACACGGCGCATCCCAGAGTGGGCCCAGTTGTTGCGCGCGCTTCAACTACGGCTCTCTGGAGAAAGAATCTCAATTCAGGAAAAATCAAGAGGATTCTGGAAGGAAGGTCGTATGAAATTAGAGGCAGAGATGCAGTCTACAGCCGTTAATTCATAAAGCATGAAATTGTAAGATTGCAGCGGTCCTAAGCAATTTAAATAATATGGGAAAGAGAAAGACGTGAATTCTGGAATCGTCTCCCAGTTTTTGCTTAATATCGCCCCTGAAAAGAGCTATTTAGTGTTGAGGAAACAAGGGCCAGCGAAAAAGTACCTTTCGGCGGTACTCGTGCGAAAATCCTCAACGTAGCCGTTTTTTTAATACTGGACGTTTGGAGCAGTTCTAGTAACCATTTGATAGAGCAAATCTTCTAGTTTATGATGACGTATTTACTTTTGGGATTGGATGAGTTTGAACGGAGTTATGGCTTTAGGAAGTAAAAAAACTCGCACTCATCACGAATTTTCCTCGTTATTTGATCTAAATTTGTTATTTCTTATAACTTCCTGTAATTTCAGTACTGATTAGAAAAAGCTCTTCACAAAACTCCCAAATCAGCTTTCAGATTGAAAATTCGTTAACTTTGAAGAAAGTTATAATCATTTGAATATTTGTTCAAATTTCAATGCAGTGCGGTGCAAAAGATAATAGGACACCCCCGAAAAAATATGAATATTCTCGACTTCTAGAAAACGTCGTTAATCGCAACTTGTGAAATCAAAACCGCCTCTATGAAGAACTTATACCCACACGTTACAAGGTATCCGATTAGTTTTGCGTATTTTTCGACAATTTTTTAATTTTGGCAGCAAGTGCCAAAGTCGTAGGACACCTCTCAAAATTCTTCTCCCTGTTGGATTTTTTTTTATCCAAACAGCAAAGATAGCAGCACTCGTTCGCTGTATGGCAACTCTCGTACTAGAGGTTCACGGTTTTTGAGTTGGCTCTCCGCTCCTCACGAGGTGAAATTGGAGGCTTGCTTTACACGCGTCCGTCTGGCTCACCGCGACCACGAAACCATTTTGGGAAGTTCAAGGAAACTTGTTTGGTACTGCAAACACTCAAGTCTTGTTTGACCGTTATACCTGGGCCCAACATAGGCAAGATGGGTTAGGACCTTAGTTTGCACTGTTGCTCGAGCGTGCCTTTTATCTGCACTAGCGAGGCATCAGTCTTCAGGCAGGGAAGAAGCGTCATGAGCCCGGAGCTTCTGGAGATCTCTCGTAATGGCATCCATGACGACAACAAATAGGAGTGGGGATAACGCAGAGCCTTGATGTACCCCGACAGAGATGGGAAAATCCATCGATGTTCCTGCTGCCGTTTGCACTCGGCTCTTTGGACTCGAGTAAAGGATGCGCACCCACTCGACGAGCTCTTCAGGCACGCCATGCTGTCGTAAGGCATACCATATAACGTCCCGCGGAACGCGGTCGAATGCCTTCTCCAAATCTAGGAAGGCAAGGTGCACCGGTCTTTGTTTCTTGTCAACCGTCGCTTTGGTATCGAAATTCACGGATCTCCCCTCATTTTGGTGGAGCCTCAATACGATTTCCCCCCAAGGCTCCATAACACTTATAAAATGGATAGAGCGCGGAATGGCCTCACGCAGTGGTGACGTCGACCCTCCGTTAGGAGCCCACATTTCTGTCCGGCCGATACGACCACTTCACCTCGTGGATTTCGCACCAACGGGACGGCTTGACCTGAGGTGGATCTGCTGAACAAAACAAGGAAGTACAATCGATTCTTTGAAATGTTTATTTCAATTAAAACCGCGATAAGGATCAAAAATTAGAAACAACGGCAGCTGATCGATGCTTCACGACAGTAATCGATTTGAATACCGGATGCGTGAGATAAAATACCCATGTCGGCACGAACGCTAAAACGTCATAGACAAATCCTCTGACGAGGAATGAGAACATGGTCAATATGTCGAAGTAGAAGAAGAACTGAAAATATGTACAGTGAAAGATTCAGCAACTGTGATGGCGATGGGGTAGCTTCCAATAGGGGTATTTAAAGCAACAACCCCATATGAGGTCTTGTCGAGCAATGTATTATGGCGTAGGATAGGGTAGCCTCAAGTACCACAGTTGTGCCGTGTCGCCCCTTATAAGCGCGCAGCAGTGGTGCTAGAACTTCACAAAGTGAGCTTATGACAGGTAATGGTGAGCTGATGGACGAGATACATCGTGCACATCCCATACGCAACGTGGGTTACGATGTAGCGGGTAGTTCAGATACGAGCGGGTTATGGAGTCATGGAGAAAGCAAGTTCATCCAACTCTTTCGACACGCCCTTCCCTCATTTCAAGAAGAAGAGAGGTGTACCCGAAAGGAGGCCCGTCGCGCGGCAAAAAGGCAGAGTCGCAGTGCGTAGTGTAGTGGTTTCGTGTCACTTCAAATAGAATGTACCACTGTACGCCTTACATCGCACAGCACGGGCCTCCTGTCGGCTACCCAAGAGAGAGTCCTTTTCAGGGGTTTCACCGAGGGTTTGCTTGGCCTTTTTTCTTTTTTAGTCAACTCAGCACGCACAACCTTTATTATCGATCACTGTTACTCCAAGAATTTGATCTGGGGTTGTTGTTCTAAAGTCCAATAAACGAACTATGGATTTCACGAAAAAAGGAGGTGCTTACCTGAAGCACGCAATTCAACGACAGAGAAACGCATACTGAGCAAGTTAGAAGAAGGAGGGAGTTTTCGGAGTGTTTGTAAGATAACGGTAGTGTCCTGAATATGTCATTAAGATTCCCTCAATGAGGTCGAAAAACACTGTTGATAAAACTTGCTTCGATATCAGTATCCGCCATCCGATAATGGTTATAAAGAAGCAGATCAGGTCAAGCCCACACGTAATGCTTGTGACAAACACCAAGGCTAAGCTACTCCGCCACTGAAATCACTATTCATTAGAGTTCAGCGTGTCACAATAAAAGAGAGGTGAGATTCTGTTTCCTTACGGAGGGTAGTCCTATTGAGCAATCACCTCACCTTGTTGACTTCTTCGCCTTACGAGCTCTCGTCCCCGCCTTATCTTCAGTATCAAAAGGCATACCTCAGGCAGAGTCAACCGTCACGTTCGCACTTTTTCAAATTTTTTGCGACCCCCTCCCCCCTCTGAAGGCGTGTGCGGCGTCAGCCTTGGAGCGCGGCAGGTATCACCCGGGCGCTGGAAGAACGGGACGCGGCGAAGAAAAAATTTTAGAGGGGAATAACTTTCTTGGGACGTACTTTTTTGACTTGTTGAGGTAGATTTTGACTGTGCCTGAGGTGCGCTTTCAGAAAACTACAAGGATTGCCTAACTCTCCGGAAAGTACTTCTGTTAGAAGTGGAAAACCCAAAATTCTAAGAAGGCGCACCTTCAACTTTGAAGGCCCATAATATGCGACATTTTGGAAATCTGTAAAAAGTTTCAGAAACTTCAAATATTTCTCTAAAAAATAGTATAAAAAAGTTTAGT